CACGTGGCAAGAAGCCACAAAGCTAGAAATGACTAAGTAGTCATATAGTCTAGGTGGCAATCTAGGGATTTGGAATTTAATAAGGATATGGATCTTATTCCATTATCTGGACAAAAACAGAACAAGAATATTCAAATTCCAAAAATAAGAGGCATACTCAACCTTTCCAATTTCAATTCTTGGTATGCATGAAGAATGGATAGAGAGCATTTTACTGGTTTGAGATCTCTATGTACACGTGCAATACTTATTGAGAATTGCAAGGAATAGTTGAGATATGATTCTAACCCCTACACCTTCTGTTTGTAAAACCGCAACTAACGTTTTCAAAACAAAAATTAACCAATCATCTTCTTCTTTATTTTGGAATTTTAGAGTTTACAACTTCGTTGGTTAAATTTATCTCTACGAAGGGATAGACTAGAGGAAGTCTGTTTCGTTCTTTTGGTTCAAAGGAACAGAAGGAGTTTCGTCTAAAACTTCAACAAATCAAAGCAGATTTCGTTCCTCAATTACAAAGCGCAGAAGCTTAATCCATTTTGGTTCTAAGTTCAATCCATGAGGGTTTCCAACGTAATATTATACGGAGTTCTTCCTATTTCAGGTATGTTAAGGCCCTCCCTTCTTTCTTTTGGCATGGTCCTGATTATACGAAAGAAACGAGCAAATACACAGTTTTTATAAATTACTCTATTCCTAGAAATAGTAGTGGTGTCTATATTCTTGATTCCCCATAAGAATTATTATTATCTTCTGTTCATGGGTCTTAGAATGATACGCAGTTGGAAAAGTTTATCCGGAAGGAATATCGAGATTAGTATGTATTTTTCATGCACTTCACTCATTTATACATGTGCATTGACCCATGACCAGATGGCGTTATATACGCGTATATATGTAAATATATGTATATGGGATATGGAAAAAGGTTACGACGTTATATACGCACCACCACCTGATCAGCAGGTATATGATAATGATATTGCCCACAGTGGCTGAAATATGATTCAAACAGCGTTATATAC